GTGATCAGAACCTGCAAGAGACAGCTCCTCAGCTGGGAGAGTGCACCGATCATGGTGGACTAGAGAACCTCTCCACACGGAGTGCCTGAAGGCTTAACCTCTGGAAGGTACTCCAAGAGACTTTGGGACTCTTAACTGCTAGAGGACCGGGTTTCCCTTTGAGTGTTTGTATTGATGTGTGTTTGTTATGCTTTGACCTAGTAAACGCATAATGCAATCAAACAGTCGTGTGTGAGAATCTCTTCTGTCCGTTGCGCCTGTCCTAAGCTCTCCCGAGAAGCAGTGACACATTTTGGATGTCACACTCAAGCCAGTGGCTTGAGACACATTCAGGACAGTTACTATCAAGTAACTGCTCCCATTCTGGACACATGTTCATCTATAATGTTCCATAGATAATTGATCTGTTTCAGTTATCCACTCTGGAATTAAAGAAATAAAGAACAGAACAGTGTTTTCCTTTAACAATTCAAAAGGAAACACCACACAATGCCTGCCAATTACTCTGCCGGAGGAAATGCCTGAGGTGCCTTCCACAGGAGCAGCAGGGTTAGGGGAGGAAAAGTCAAGGGACCAATGAGAATGGAAGGCCAAGTCAGGAGCCACACGGGTCAGCGGCCCTGGTTGGACATCAGAGAGAAGTGTAGTTGTGGCCGCTCAACCACAAGATGTCAACTTCCCGGAGAGTTGTGCAAAAACTGAGGACCAGACCTTTTCCTTTTGCAAGGCTTCTTAGTTTTAATCAGATTTGCAAAGGATTCCAAGACTGGAAAATAGTCATTGCTAATCTAGTTTGTTGCTGTCCGAGTCAACCAAGACGCAATCGCTATGCATCAAATGAAACTCAAAAAAGAATCTCCAAGTGTAAAGACTACTAAATTCATTATCAACATGCTTCCCTGGAGAGAAGAGAAGCTGGAATTGCCTGATTAAGCAGATTATACACGAACACAGAGAATAAAGCTCAGCAGGAGAGTGCCTTCTAGAAGCACTGTCTACCCTAGAGAAAGCAGTAGTGTAATATAATATAACCTAAACCACCTCAGCCTACACCTCAGCAATGTCTTAACAAGCATGCGTGCCTTCCAGGCTGGATGTTTAAGAAACCCCTTGATGAGAAAAGTTAGAACCCTGGAGCTAGAGAGATGGTTCAGTGGCTCTTGCAGAGGAGCTGGTTCTCAGCAACTATGTAACAGCTCAGGGCTGGATAGAACTCCAATTCCAAGGGATCTGGCACTGTCTTCTGGCCTCCATGGGTATCACATGCACATGGTGCAGATACATTCATGCAAGCAAAATACTCATAGACATAAAATTTAAATAAATCGTTTTAATTTTTTTAAATTATTTTATGTGTATGAGTGCTTTTCCGGTATGTACTGTCAGTGCACCTGTGTCATGCAGTGCCTGCAGAGGTCAGAAGAGGGTGTCGGATACCCTGGTCCTGGAGTTTCAGGCAGTTGTTAGCCCCATGAGGGTGCTGGGAACCAAAACCAGGACCTCTAGAAGAGCATCCAGTGCTCTTAACTGCTGAACCATCTCTCCAGCCCCTAAATAAATATTTTTAAAAGAAGGTTATAATCTCTAATATGAAATTGTTATATTAAATTAAATTCAAAATTATAGCTATTCTAATAACTAAGTCTGGAAGGGAGTATAGAAAGGACTTTGGGCACTTGGAAAATAAAACAAATTATGTAATGATACTATGCTATTTTGGTAAAGTGACATTAAAATGATGGTAAAAGGATATTTCTAGAATGACTTCATGTTGCTTTTGAATATCAATTTTATTTAAAATATAGAATATTCAAGCACAAAATCATGAAAAATTTTTGTCCATGATCATTCAGAAAAAGAAAACATTAAAATGCTCTAGGATTACTAAGGCACTGAGTGCGAGTATCCTCTGAACTATTATCAAGTTTTCAATATGTTTAAGATTCAGATGTTCATAGTTATATTCCTAAGAAATTCTTTAATAAAAGTCTCAACTTTGCTATTCTTGCCCTGAAAAGCAGCATTTTAAACAAATGTGTAAAATGTATTAATAAAAATAATATAATAGGGCCAGGCATGGTGGTGCACGCCTTTAATCCCAGGACTCGGGAGGCAGAGGCAGGAGGATCTCTGAGTTCAAGGCCAGCCTGATCTAGCCAGCTGGGACTTCAGGGAGACCCTCTCTCAAAAAGACAAAAAAAAAATAATATAATAACCCAGTTTCAAATGTATGTTTTAACTTTCCAACATATTTTCTTTCATCATAGCAATACACCAACCACAGTAAGGCATACTGAAGCCTAAAAGATGACAAAGTCACGCAATTTGATACAGAACACCTGGGAATATTATCAATTAGGTAACTATCAAAAATAAAAAGTTCTGTACTGTTGATATTAGATTTAACTGTGTAATACACCCCTTTCATACACCTTCCGCTTTTCTATTTAGTACACACCAAAAAAGGTTCATCATCAAATTAAAATGCAGGCAGATATATCTACCCACCGTGAAAAAGACAATAATTACCCTTTCTTGTTCACATTCTAAATATTATAGTAAACAGACACATGCATTTTCTTATAAATGTACATGTATGAAATATAGACTAGAGATACCACCTTACCCCAGTCAGAATGGTATCATCAAGAAATCTGACCATAAATGTAGGAGGGGTTGTAGGGAAAGAGAAACACTTATTCACTGCTAGTGGGAGTACAAATTTGTAAATACAGTCATTATGGAAATCAGTCTGGAGGTTCCGCAAAAAATTTAAAATAGAGCTACCATCTGACCCAACTATCTCACTCCTGGGCACATATCCAGAGAACTCCATGTCTTACCATAGAGATCTTTGTAGCTCTGTTGTTTATTGCTACAGCAAGGAAATGGAACTAACCTAGTTGTCCATCAACTGGGGAACGGATCATGAAAGTCTGGTACATATATACATATATTAAATGGAATAGTATTCGGCTCTTAACAAAAATGGAATCACAAAGTTCACAGGAAAATGGATGGACCTAGAATGTTTAATATTAAGTAAGGTCACCCAATTACAAAAAGTGAAAAACCACACCTCTGCCCTTCTATGTAGGATCTGGTCTATAATGTACACACACACACACACACACACACACACACACACACACACACACGCACACATGCGCACACACATGCATTTATAAAAAAAAACACATGTCTATTTCATCTTAAGAAAGCAAAAGGGACTTGTTAGGTTTTACCAGAATCTCAGAGATTCTTAATCAGAGAATGCCTCTAGATCTTTCTCTCTGGTTTTATCTTCAGCATCATTCATTCACACAAAGAACACATTTTGTTACAATGCCAACTCCAGTTCATAATGGGAATCATCTGCCCTGCCTCATGAACTCACCTGGACCAGTTCCATCATGTCTTTGACAAACCCATCCACTTCTGGGCCCTCCAGGGCACCAGATTTGCTCTGAAAGATGAAAAGATTCAGTCATGCAAACACATCCTCTTACAGTGTAAAGCTGAAGAACAAACTGACAAATAGACAAAAGAAATCCATGTTCCTTTGTGGCTGCCAGCAGGTTCAGAGGGTGACACGCCCCGGTGGAAACCTAAGGGCTCTACGGTGCCTCCTCGCCCACCCGGGCAGCGTCTCCTCTGCTCAGAGTGCAGGCAGGTGTCCAGGGAGGTTGACTTTGGGGAGACAGTGCTTAGACCCTCTCCCACTTTTCTGCTCACTTTCCCTTTCTCACCTCATCCCTCCTTGACCCCCAGAATTCAACCCTGTGTCATACGTGGTGGTCTAGAATGACTGTTCTAGGACGACTGTTGCATGGCTCCTACAGGAGAAACTGTTTCATAGAAGGCAGGTAGGACCTTGCCTTGGGGAAGACTTTTCTGCTCATTCATTTGGGGGGGTGTACAATAAATGGATGTCTTATCATACAGGGAGAATCTTTTTCATAGATTGACTACCAGGAGCCCCAAAGCATTGTGATTTCATCTCTGTTCAACTATAAATGTAACTTTGCTCATTCTTTACCTAAACCTCTGAAGTTATGTAAAGAAGTTGAGGGTACCCATACATGTGGGGTTGCTGTGCAGATCAGCCTAGGACTTATCAATACGCCACACTGGAGCTAAGGGAGCTTTCTACCTAAAGGAGGTCCGCAGCATGAAGAGCACTTACAACATCATAGTGGGCGAAGATTTTCTCAAAGTCCCTCTTCTTTTCCTCAGTAGAACAAGCCTGCATATGAGGGAAATAGTATGTCAGTCCAGCAATGTGTAACTGCTGCTGCGTAACTCCTGTAAGGTGTTCATAAACTTTGAACCAATGACCCTTAAGGTCCTGGATTCCACTCTGAGCCTTGTCAATCTCTAAGATAAAAGACAGACATCACGTTTGATGGGCAAGACCCTGTAGGCCTGTGTGTTTACACTTAGTCACCAGCTATTTGGGGAGGTTGTGCAGCCGTTAGGAGGTGGAGCCCAGCTGGAAAAAGTGCGTCAATAGGGAGCAAGTCTCCAGGTTTTATCGCCCAGTCCTGTACCCCTCTGGGTCTCTGCTTCCTGGTCTGCCCAGATGTGAGCAAGCTCTGCCCTCCACAGCTACCAGCTGCTCTGGCTGTCGTCACATCATCTTTCTTCACCGTGATGCACTCCAGCCCTCCAACAGGAACCAACATAGACCTTCGCTCAGCTGCACTAGCCCGGGATTTTATCACAGTGATCAGGAAAGTAAGGAGTCCACCTTCCTTCCCTTCCTTCTTCCCAGGACGTAGAAACACCAAAGTGGCAGAGGCCCACCCAGAGAAATGCCACTAACTACTTACATCCATTTTGAACTGAAGAAGGAAGTTTTCTTGAAGCGCAAGAATCCTAAATGGGAGAAAAAGTAAAATCTACATGAGGACTGTCCAGGTGGCCTCAGGTGCCCACTTGACACAAAATAGTCATCTGGAAAGAGTGAACTCAATTTCCTCCATCAGACTGGCCTGTGG